CCCGATGGCAAACACCGGGGGGGGCGGCTTGTTTTACAACGTCGTTGCCAAGCGACGAAAACCCAACCCCGATGGCAGAACGGGGGGGGCGGTGCAAAGCGCCGAAAGGGGGGACGTGCGCGGAGGCAGGCCCCGCCCACCCTTGATCAGTTGAAGGGAATGTCCCGGGCGGAGATTAACGACAGGTGCACTGCCGTAAGACAACTTCTCGTGCTCGTAAAGGACGCCGGGATTAAGAAGGGCACAATGAACTCAAGAAAATATTATCTCGTCGATTACCTGGCGGCGTATGTGGGTGGGTTCGGGCAGGAATCTGTTGAAGGGGCAGGCCCCAGTGCGACAGGGAGTGGTCCAGCCGAGGGAGGATGCGGGGGGTGTGGTAGTGAGAACGCGGGTGAGGGCAACGCCCCGACAGATAGCAACGCCCCGACAGGTAGTGGGGAGATGGTCTCTGTCGGTAGTGATTTTACAACGTCAGAAGTGCCTGCGCAGGACGGAAGGGACGACGACGGTTACCTTTCTCGACCGGTTACGATGGATTTCTCGCTGTCGGTTTTGGAGGGGGCTGGAGTGTCTAGCGGGGGTGGCTCTTGAACAATTTTCCGAGGCAGAAGGTGAAAGTTGGTCTGTCCGTGGCGTCGGCTTTCGTTTCGTCATGTACCGTTCATGGATCAGGACTACCATCGTATTTGTGTGCATGTCGAAGTTGGCGTGGACTATTCTTCTAGCCACTTGTAGGAGCGCCGGCGTGTTGCGCACCTATGCCGCGTAATAGACTTTCTCGAAGTACGAGTCTTGTGTAGTCTATGGGTGTAATCACTGGTCGTTCCCCCGAGCCGGAGCCATGTCAGTCAGCGGGGATTCTCTTCGTTGCCGTATTCAGCCGAGAGCGTTGCAGTGGCAAAGTGGGGTTGAACTGCGTCCAGCTATTTCTTGGAGTAAATTGACAAGGAGAGCATACAGTAACCATCCCGACCGTGTTCAACACCGGTAAACCAAATTGACCTGAAGTAGCTACCTTCCTACCGCCCGGGACAAATCATCCTCAAGGCTGTGTTGGTGAAGAATCCGAAGTCGGTCCGATACGTGTACACCCGAAACAGTCGACAGGACTAGTCTAGACTATTGACAAAAACAGAGAGGATATAGGGGGGGCAAGGAACAGAGAGGCTTCGTCCGTGAGCATCAAACACCCGGTGATTAAGGCGGAGGGAGATATGACGAACCTCCAATGAAAAAAAAGACAACAGAGAAAACTTCCAACAACACGAAACCAGAAAGAAGAAAACTCGACTACGGGAGCAATACGCCTGCGGGTTTTGCGTGACAGGGAAGTCAAACTCACACATGCTTCCAACACTGTTGGGGCGAGTCTCCCACCCCGATAAAATAAAATAAAAATCAGGACCCGGCTCCGCTCGACAAGCGGGGTTTCAGACTCGCTCCTCCCTACAGTCCTATCTGTTGTATGTGCGTGGGCAAGCCCGGTGCTTCCGTAAAGCTATATGACATGGCACGCTGGGATTACTCCTATTGCTGATTCCCGGAGGGAAAATCGAAATATCTGCAGTCTTCTAGCTCTCTCTCTCTTCATCTCTCTCCTGCGCCTACTTGACCAAAATAAGCCAACGCTACCTTATTCCCTTCTAAACCTCTCGAGGGTTACGGGTATGGGTTGAAGACTACGGGGGTCCGGCCCGCAGGGGCTGCTGTCGACTCCTGGGATGCACTACCCCCTACCACAGGGTTCGCATGGGTTTGTCGATGCTGATGTACTGCGGAAACATCACAGCTGAGACAGGGTTCCTCGAGGGTGCCCGCATCATAGCAGACCGCTCGGCGTCGGTCACTGGGAGCATGATCCGTCCCCGGATCCCGGACGCGATGAATTCCTCCCCTTTCCGCGCATTCTTTTTGTGGTTCGCGCGGGAAATCCCGTGCAAACTGCGTTGCAGGTCCCCTCGTGCTGCCCTTTCGTTCGCTTGCGCAGCTGTCGGGTTGCTGTGCGACCCAAGACTTTGGCGCATGTGCCCGTACCGGTGTTCCACGATATCCTGTGGGGGCGGGGAGGGGGGGGGCAGAAGGCGGAGTGGGTTAGGGGCGGGGGCGGGGG